CCGACAAGCGAGAGCTGGCGGGTGAACTGCGCGAAAATAGAAAAGGAATTATTCTAGGAGAGATAGGAAAGGTACTTAATCGCGATTATAGGTATATAGTATAGGTTACTTAAACGGTTATACACGATGTGAACTCCTAGCCGACTGCAATAGAAATGAGCAATTCCTTCCACTTTTTAATTTGTTCTACGCGCAACCCGCCAGCTCTCGCTTGTCGGTTATATGCGTTTATGCACGCCATACACACTACGGTCAACCGAAGAGTCTGTGGGAATAGACCTGTGCAGTTTTTTGAACTTGCGCAGGCGACCGGACCAAAATCAAAAATCAATTTTTTCGAGTGACACCATACGATGTACCTATGCGTCTGTGCGTGTACTCCGGCCGCCTGCGCAGGTCGGGTCAGTTGTTTTCTAGTGTTTCTCTGGGAATGTCGTCTTTTCGTTCGTACCGTATTATCATACCACTCTTTAATTAACTCTAGAAAATGCTGCCACCACTTTCAACTAAAAAAACGCTTGAAGAATAAAGGATTCCCCAAACCGACGCGAAACTTTCGCAGCCGCAACTACGCGGAATCGCGGCGAATCGTAAGGCACGACGGCTTATGCAGGTGTTCATACAAGTTGGGGCGGAATCCGCAACGGTCGCGGCAGATCAGCGTTGTTTTCATGAAACGCTGCATGCACGTTTTTTTCCGCTGCAGTTATAGTTTCGCGTGAATTAAAATGGCTGTTACAGAAAAACTAATTGAAATTGTGAAACAATATCCTATACTTTATGATTTAAGGGACGAAGATTATAAAAATATTAGAAAAAGTTTCATTGGAGTTTCAACATAGAACAAGAAGCAGTTGGCTTTTGCACTTCCAATTCTAATACTAGATGTTCTTCTCGGAGCAATTCACAGTTAACACCAATACTTTTCCCTATATGTGTCGATACTAACAATACTAAATGTGTCCCGTACCAAGTTATTGGTTCTGGAGCTACCTGTTTTTTTCAGTTTCGGTAAGTGCCAATAGTAGAAAAACTTCTTTTTCATCAGACGAAGTTATTATGTATTGTAAGCTACGAATAAATGACTAAAAAATATAGTTTGTTCACATTTGTATCGCGAATAGTCGCGTCGGGCTTCGCGCCAATGTAGGGAAGCCTTATCCACTAGCGCTCCGCCTGCGAATGTTCCGCAACGAAAATTCGCGTCTCAAAGTTTCGCGTCGGTGTAGAGAATCCTTATAGGTCGCGACATATTATCATGCACGAATAGTTTTCGGCACGCAGCGTTTCCACTCTAGCAATCGGACTACGCGTTCACATTTTCATATAGAGAACGTTTCAGTTTGATGCAGTAAAGATGTGTTCTCGCTTTCGCGACAAAAATTATGTGCAATTGCGCTTCTACTTGATGATGAAGAAAGAAATACTGTAGTAAAAAGAAGGTTTGGAGTACATCCAATGCTAAAAGAAAGAAAACAGGAAGGTGAATACTGGATTTTATACAAAGAATTAATTGATGACGATGAAAAATATTATGGATATTTTAAAATGAATAGGGTTAGGTTTGAATATATTTTAAATTTAATTACACCTTTAGTTAAAAAACAAAATATTACATTTAAAGAAGCCATAACACCTAAAGAAAAATTGAGAGAATTTACTAGTCTGTCCGGACAGGGTGGAAATAATTCATTATTAGCATTCACAGTAAGGGAGAACTTTAAAACATTTTTTCAATCTACTGCTGGAAAACTTGACTGGGAACAATAATTCCTATGTATTTCTTGGAATTAATACATTTCAGACGGATTAAATATTTGTGGTATTATTTGATATCTACTTACCATTTTGTCCTAATTTGGTGCGATTTCCCTCCCAATATTTTCTTGTTTATTTGCATCATGATAGCATTTATCCCGTCGAAATCTATCCCGTGTAAACTATATCCCGTCGAAATCCGCATCTGGGGTCGCCTCTCGTCTTGACAGCCCTGCACGAAGACACTGACTGACCCCTCGACGCTACCGCGTCCGAGCGTTCCAGGAGCCGGCAATTACTGCCTCGAGGGCTCCCTCGATACTACTGATCCCCGCTGGCCAACCTCGTTCCGTTTTTATGAATGCCTATTCTCAAATTCCGATTGTAGTGCCAAGGTCGAGTTTTTGCTGAGTTCTTGTGATTTAAACCAGGTCGGCGCTGGTGATATTTCCAGAGTAGGTCTATGTTTATTTAAACGTGACTATTTTCTTTTTGAACAATTGTTGGAACTGATATTGGTCGTGTCATGCAACTAACTGGGTCAAATTGTTTTTCTTTGTATAATTTAAAATGTGTACTTTACTGTATCGAATTTATTCTTTATTTAATTTGGAATATATAATAATTACTAAAATGATTATTATTCTCCCTTATGCTACTAGCCCTTATTTTTTCTATTCTTTATTTTCTTGCTATGTTTACATTACAACCAAACCGATACACCGGAGAGTCTCCATACACGCTACCGCTCTTTCGTTGACCTGTACAGGCATACCTGCACAGGTAGACCTCTCCGGTAGATCGTAGTGTGTATGGCGTGCATTAAACAGTAGTGACGACAATATACATCCCTGTCATACTCGTCTTTTAATTTTAAAACGAATGTGTTCATTAATGCGTACATGTGCCCGCTGCTTATAAACATATTCGTTACAAATGAATGAATATCATTGTAATTTATTTGTTTTTGTTAAGGACATCCATTAGCTGTTTATGGCAAACTTTATCTAATGCCTTGTTTTAATCTATGAAACACACGTACATATTTTAATTAACATCCAAGCATCTCTGTATTAGCTACATTTACTGTAAAGAGGAGAGCTTCTCGGGTACCTACACCTCTACGAAATCCAAATTGGATTTCTTCGACGTCCATTTCAAGATTTTGGTAAATGCGTTTAATACAATCGTTTTTAACTACAAGATGATAATTATTAAAGACAAATTTCTACAGATAACATACTACGCACTTTTTAAATCTCTCTCTCTCTTTCTTCTGGGCCTTCTTGCCTTCTATCTTTCTTTAAATGATAAGTATTTACATGTTTGCTACGTCTGCTCGCATAACATGACCAAAGTATTTTAATTTTGAAGATGTACTTTGCTGAAAAGCCGTTTGTTAACCTTTAGCTCTCGTTTTCAACCAAACGTTTTTTAAATTGCACTGTATAACATTCAACTAAAGTCGCTTTACAATCAGTTTATTTAAATATTTTTATGTAATTTTGTCAATTAACAAAAGTTTTAAAAATCAAAAGAAAACAAAAATATTTCATAATTTTGTTTTTAATTGCTTATACTCAATCTAAACAGCTTTTGCAACTACTAAGATTAACAGGTACTGTGCTAATGATTTACAAAAAAATTACTTCATTTTAATTGTTTTTATCAAGTTCTTTTTGTTCTTTTCCATACAAATTTGCAGAATTTGATGATGAAATCAGTCATATTATAAATAGTTAATGAGACTTGATACAACGATTAAAATGAATCAGTATATTTCTGTCGTATTTTATATTTTTTAACTAAAAATCTAGCTATGGGAGACTATAAAAATGATAATCTTGTGCACTGCAGAAAACAAACATTTTTTGGGTGTTTTGATTTGTACAAAATACAAAAAAAAAATAGTTGTATAATAACCATTATTTTATCGACGTTTCGGTAATATCACATTTGTCATTGTCAAGTGAGATTAGTGCCGTTTTTTTAGATCTTCGAAGGGAACTGATCCCTTTTCGATTTCACTCTTTATTTTTATCTAAGCAATTCAAGTTTTCAGTTATTCTTATCTAAAAAACCTATAAATCCAGTGCTGATTAAAAATTTTAAATAACGACCATTATTATACGTCTCTGTAGGTGATTGTACATTGTAAATTGTAAATTATTTTCTATCTTTTATAAATAAAACTTACACTTTCCCTCCTTCCCTATAGATGTCACCACAGTTCTTCTGGTGGACAGTCGCGGGAGGTCATCTTTTGGAAAATTCCTAAACGTAAAACCCGACCTCGGCCTTATCACCTCTACAGCCCGTACTTTTATACAAGAAGGTGTTACTACAGAGTACGCCACACAAGTACTAGGTACCACCCTCGACAATGGACGATTGTACGCTCATTTACTTACGAAAAGTTCTAGGGTACTATACGACGATTCCCTTCGAAAGTTCACGAGCCTCTGAATAAAAAATGGACCATCAACGAGAATGCCTTAAACGTGAAGCCTTTTATCAACAACGTTGACTATGTTTCTCCTAGTCATGTCGAAGAACCTGTATTGTATACAACCAGAATATCAAATAGCAACACTGAAGAGACACCGGCTGCTCTGTTAGTAGATATCAAAAGTATAGAAGAAGAAATACTAAAAGAAGCTCCTTCAAAACAACTACAGAGTTCCATTCGAAGAATTAAAAAAGAATCCAGCGTCCCAATCTAATGTAAAAGTATTCAAAATTAGTCCCGAAATTCCAGACATCACCCACGAAAATATCATTAACCACAAAGAACCTAACGATAAGTTAATAATACGAAACAATTTCACACCATCTAAGGTAAAACCATGGGACAATTTACCGACTTTTACAGTCAGGAATGAATTCTCACCATCAGGTCTGTCATTTTTGGGAGATTTGCCTGATTTTGAAGCTCGAACTGAAAGATCAAAGCTCACTACCCCTGCTGAAAGGAAAGCAAAACTTTTGTTCAAAGCCGGCTTAACTAAACCCAATGCTAGAGATTTGACGTCAATTACGTACACTGGTTTTGCCGACTTTACAACCACAGTTGGTGATACTGTTATAATATTTTCACCACATACTACAGAAAAAATTAAGATTCTGTCAAACCTACTAGGCTGTTACCCCCAAAAATTAGCTCTTCGATTCAACCAACAACTACGTTACTAGCACCTCCGCTAATAACCAAAGTTACTACATTTTTATCACAAGAACCTCCAATGGAAACAAAAACATTCAAAGGTCCCGAACTAGAAATGAAAACGACATTACCTACCATGGTTATTGACAAAACAGACCGAGTTAGGGATCCAAAAAGTCAAACAGTTGAAGAACACATAGATATGGATGCTAAGTCTGCCGTTTTGGCGCACGAACAAGGTAAAGAAACTTCCCAAACGTTTTCACCAGAAGCTATCCAACCGTCTGAGACACAAATATCTATGCTATCTACGCCATCTGAAGAAGACATCGCTAAAATATTTGCATCACTCCAAGCATTACAAAAACAATCAACCCAAAGTTTAGACTCAGTTTTACCTTCCATTGAAAGTAGTATCGATGAGAGCAAGATACAAAGTACAGGAGGGGCAACTACTATCTTTTTTGACGATGATGTATAGAAAGTACGTCAGTCTTCCCCACAGAAACATCAATAACATTACAAGAAGAAAAGATAACTACAGAAGCAGCCGAAACTTCTCCAACAACGATAGATGATGAAGAATCTACCAGTGAAAATTTGTTAACTACTGAAACTGATTCAACTACTGAACCAATAAAACTCACCACCCCTGAGAATGAAGTTGATGTAATTTGTACAGACGGAAGCCAAGTTATAGCTACAACTGCTTACAAAACATTAACCTACCTCACCACATTCTTTATTCCTGCAGACGACAGTACCACCACCTCTGTTAAATCAAATGAAGTTGTTTCAACAGAAATTGGTTTCCAAACTAGAGCTTGCCAAGAAATTGCACCAAGTTTACCAGTGACTACCCCTTCTGCGAGTCAATCTCCAACTACCACCGAAGAAATCACTACTACTCAAGAACAAAAGGTAGAAACCACCATTGATGCTGAAACAGAAAAAACCGAGACAACAACAACCGAACAAGAAATTACTACAGCAAAACATATTGAAACTACAACTGCTGAAGTTACAACAGAAGAACACACAGTCACCGAATCTGTTACAGAAGCTACAGAAACTACAACTGAAGATGGTGACGAATTAGAAATTATTTACAAAACCTTGTACACTACTTACACTTATCTTACAACATATTTCCAAGAATCTACCTCATCTATATCTAGCAGAACAGTAGTGACGACCAATGTAGTAACATCCACTTTGGATCCCAAAATGGAAAGCACAATTGACTCACTAGAAGGTATTATGGATAGGGAAGAAAGTTCCAGCTCTAGATACAAAACAAAAACAGTATCATTTGAAGATCTAGCTAATATAACACCTACTAGTACTATAGCTGTTACTCCAACTGTTAGTGTTGTTGATAACGATAATGAACAAGAAGCTACACCTTCTTTGGATGACACAAAAATTAATGCTGTAGGTGTTAAGACATATTATACAACGTATACATATTTCACAACTATCTTTGTCGATGGTGAAACCGAGATCTCCAGTAGAACAGAAGTTTATACTAACTATGTAACACCTTCTATACTAGCAACTGCTTCGGCAAAAGATTTGGAAACTACCAAACTAACAAACTTTTCTGAAGACGACGATAACGATGAAGATGAGGACGATGAGGGCGATGATGAGGAAAGTTACACAAAGAAAAAGCTTAAATTATTATCAAAAATAAAGCCTGAGAGCATCTACAACACCATATCCAGGCAAAAATCTGCAACCACTGAGAGTGAGGTCACTTCTTTTACTGAAGATTCTATCACTACAGAGAATAATGAAATTTCTGATAATGGTCTTGATTTGAGTGAATACGAAACTATCTCTACAATGGTAACTGATGTAAGAAGTTCCACTTCAGAAGGCGACAGAAGAATAATCGATAATTTAGACAAACGTAACGTTCTATTGGATGATCAAATAGTATCTGAATCAAACAACGACTCCGAAATATTGCCTTCTCCTACGTTACTACTACAAACCAGTTATACCACATTCACTTACTTCACCACGATGTACCATGGAACTACTTCCAGTAACGTAGTTAGCAGATTAGAAACAGTTACTAATGTAGTTACGCAAACATTAGAGCCAACTCAAATAGCCACCACTGAAGATCCGAATGCACCGGTAACATATTTTACTACATTCACTTACTGGACTACTCTGTACAAGGACGGTACCACAAAAATTACCAGCAGAGAAGAAACAGTAACTAACGTTGAAACTGCGTCCATTAAACCTACCAGTACTTTAGCGTTTATAGTACCCACGGCGACAACTGACTTAACTACATCATCAACGGAAGTAGAAAGTGTTTATCCAAGTACCGTTGGAGAAGATGCTCTTACAACTTATTACACTACTTACACGTATTATACTACTTCTTACATCGGGGATAGTACTGTTCTGAACAGCAGACTGGAAACAGTTACCAATGTTTTGAACAATACTTCTGATATAGACTCAAACTTCATAGGACGAGCTATTGGGTCTTACGATAAAAACAAAATTGCTAATTCTGATAAACCTGCTTCCAATGATAGTAGTACTAGTACCATTAAACCAACTGGTCTACTGTCTACTATAGTGAATACCATAGAAAATAACGGTACTACCACAGTGTTATCAACAGATGTTTATGGTACTTATATAGATGGACTGTATGCTAAAGTACTAGAAAGCTCGTCAAGCATTCTTACTAGTGAGATCAAAGCATCACCTGTAAGTGAAACATTGAAGCCCACAGGAGTAGTAAGTATTAATCAAGGAAAAATCGTAGATGCTGAAGGTGTTAGTACTCTATTCTACACAACACAAGCAATTGGGACGTATATAGATAACTTATATGCCCAGGTAATTGAAAGTACCAGTTCTCTAACTGTTGACGAAGAAAAGAAAGCAGGTTTGCCTACTGATTTGCCTATTGCTCACAGAACTGGTTTAGTAAGATTAATAGAAGGTTCCATTGTTCAGAACGATACAACCACATACTACGAATCCAAAGTGCTGGGCACTATCATAGATGGACGGTACGCTCAGATCATAGAAAGTACTTCCAGCTTTTTAATCGGTCAAAAAAGCTCGATTCAGCCTAATTCTGTGACTGAAATTCAGCCGTCCACAACACAAGGTCCTGATAAGAATATTATTGCAACAAAACTTGTGTCACCTTCTCCAGTAGCAATAGAAGGTTCAATAGAGGATTCCACGAAAATTGATGATGAATCCACGACTGAAGAAAATGAAGAGGAAGAGGAAGATGACAAAGGTAAAGGAAAGTCAAGACTAACATTCCAATCTAAGAAGAGAACGTTTACTCCAGCAATTAGACCTTTTGCTTCGAGGCAGCGCCCATCTTTTGCTCCTAAACGTAAACAATCTGGACAAAGTACAGCAGCTACGATTACGAGAAGTGATTTTACTCCTACAGTGACAGCAGTACCAGCTTCTAAAGCTAATAGATTTGGAGGTAGAAGATCCTCATCGGGGGCAAATACCATCAACCCAACAGCATCTGGCAGCAGAAGATTCTCCAGAACAAAAGGTCCCAGTTCGTCTTCTTTTGGTGGTAGACGTAGTAGCTCTTCTAGAATTCAGCCTACAAGCGCATTTGGATCTAGCTCTAGAAGAACTGGATTAAGATCATCTAGTGGTATTCCCAATCGTTCTAGTTCTTTGTTTGGAGCCAGACCAAGAATAAGACCAACTTTAGCATCTGGGTTGGTTCGGTCCCCAAGTTCTAACGTAATAAGTGAGACACCTTTAGATGATGAAAATAGTATTACTACTTTAGTTACTGAAAATCCTGCCGAAACAGCTGAAGCAGGTGAAACCACATTGGAACTTCAAACCACCACTGAACCTTCTTCAAGACGTAGTCAAAATCCTCTTTTGAAGTTTAGAAGACCCCCACTAGGAAGAACGACTCCAACAAGAACTGCAAAAGCTAGAACAAGTGCTACTAGGCCTGTAACTACTAGTACCACTACCACAACTACATCAAGACCTAAAACTACTAGAGCTAATAGCTTATTAAACAGAGCCAGATCAAATGGTTTGTTTCCAAGAAGAAACTTATTTACTACTACATCAACAACACCTCCTCCAAAGGAAGAAGATGAACTAAGTGAAGATGATTTAGTTGAAGAAGGAGATGCTGAAGAAGATACTGATTATGAAAGTTCTTTGAGGAATACACAAACCGCTGAACCACCCTCAACAACCACAAAGGCTTCGGTTAATAGAGGAAGATCATTCAATAGTGTTCAAATCAAACCGTTTTTCAGAAAGAGAGCCAAAAGAGATACTTACTCAAGATTTAGGCGACCTACTGCTAAAACTACTTCCACTACAGAAGCAGAAGTAATTGAAGAAAAGACTGAAAAACCAGTAAAGGCTGTAACTAGAGGTAAATATTCTACTCGAAGCAGAACGAAATATTCCACTTCTACTACTACATCGACTACTCCCGCGCCTAGAAAGAGAATATCTCCCAGTAAAGCATCACCGCAAAGCAGGACCCAATTTACGTTAAGAGAAAGTGATAAGAGGTCCAATTTTAAAAGACCTACTGCAGGTAGTCGGGTAACTAGACCTACCACACCAAGAACTGGTGGAACGAGATATAGAACTAATGAAAATAGTAGAAAAACAAATGGTAATAACAGGCAGATAGCTAGAACTACTGTTAGAAGTAGAACGAACCAAAGACAGAGACATCCTTCTAATGAATTTGACCAAGACAATTTTATTCACCCACACAATGATGGTACTATAACAGTTACGCATCAAATACCAACAGAAGTAACAATACCTGTTGTTAATGGTAAAATAACAGAGTACAAAAATATTATTACAGCAAAATACAGTACTGAAGTCTTAAATCCAAATCAATATTCAACTTCTATTAACGCTCTTGGTAAAGATGTTACTGTTTTATTGAGTGAAAACACTGACATAAATAACGGAGCAACTTTGATAACACATTTTGTGCTTAAAGAAACTCCAACGACGAGCATTACTTTTACACCAACCTACATTAATAGACGCAAAACATCTTATAGGCATGTACTACCTAGTACTGTATACGAAGTTGAACCTGTTGTTAACACTATTCAACCAAATCTTGCACAAGCACCACTGGCGAATATATTATTATCTCAGTTACTCTTAGGAGGTCTACAGCCACAACCAAATGCTTTGTTAGGGTACCCTCCACCAGGATTAGTACCACTAAGTCCTACAACAGAATTTAAAACTCGAACAACCACCTACGTTACTACTGTTACTAGTGAAACATCCACGGTTATACCTTTAACATTCAGAGGTAAAGAAATTCTCACTACGATCATTGATAGTAGTGTAAACGTAGTAACAGCAACAGAATTCCTAACCGATACAGTCGTGGTAACACCAACTCTAGGATACCCTCCTCCACAACTCAACACAGCATTACTCATACCACTTTTACAACAACAGCTGCAACAGCAACAGCAACAAACTCAACAACAGCAGCAGTTCCAAAGGCAGGTCCACTTAACTAATAATTTGCCAACACCTGACAACGTATATAATTTAAATGACAATGTAGATGCTCAAAGCTTATTCCAGGAACAAGAAAGGTTTAATTTAGCTATTGAAGATGAATTTACAGACATTCAAAAGCCAGTGGAGATCGAGGAAGATGTAGAGCCTACCACAAAAAGAAAGATTAACAGGAAAAGTAAAAAAATTAAACCTATTCTGACACCCACAGAACGACCCAAAGAAACGAGTATTGTAACACTATACGTATCTGGACGAACACCAGGGGAATTTACAACCCTATTGTCCACTATAATAATTGACGAAGAAAACAATAGCAGATCTAAAAGAGAAATTATAGTAGAACCTTCAAGGATACTACATAATGCGATTATAAACGATAGGGAAAGTTTTGACGATTTTATAATGGCCGGTGTTAAAGATGTACCTTTAGAAACTTCAGAAGTTGCAACCGAAACAGAAAGTCTAGAAAGTATAATAGGGGACGTTCAACAGTACATCACCACCCATGTTCCCGATTCTAGCAAAAATGTAATGTATGTAAAATCATCTGTGCGATCAGATGATTTTTTAGTCTAGAAGACCTTAGCAGACATACCCCCTTCATGCCAAAGGTCATAGCTTCTCTTAATAAAGGGGGAATTCAACAAAATTCACAAATACATAGATATAAGCGTCAGGTGACACAATTAGGCAGTAACAATTCCAGTAAAAAGAAGAGAAGGGTAGTGAAAAAATTGACAAGAGTGCAATTGGTATCGAATAGTACATTAGACGATAATGATAATCAAAATTTAGAAGGTAGCATTAGAAAGATAAATCAAGAAGCCACAACTAAGAGAAAGCTACGTAGGATAAAAATTAAGAAGAAGAAATTACGACAGAATATTGTTTTGCAGGATGATCAACATTTACAAGAAGCCACTAAGCCCAGAAAAAGAATTGTAGTCACAAAGAAGAGACTACTAACTAGAAACAAATATTCTAATAGTGTATCCTATAGCGAAACTGATACACCACTTACTAGTACAAAAACGTATCCCTATCAGAATACCAATGAACACACTAGAGGAAATTATGAATATGAAAATACTTCAGAAGAGAATGAAATTGGTGATTATTCAGATGATGATGATGATGACAGTGAAGAGAATGAAGATGATGAATATGATGATGATAGAGAAGAAGTTGAAGATGAAAATCATTTAGACTACAGACCAAAATACCTAGACGACGAAGACTACGAAGATACAACAGAACAAAACGAGATTGTGACGCTGAAAGAATCCGATTTTTTTTATACCAATTTTGAAGATGAACCGTTGACCACAGAGGATTTGATACCTTTAACGGAGGTATATACTGAAAATCCAACAATATTTACTAATGACTCGAGAGCAACTGAAAGTGTCAAAAATGAATTGAGTACAGAGAAAGAAGTAACAACAGAGGAAGAAAAAGTAACTACAACTGAGCAAGATAATTATGTTACGACAGGAAGAAATGATTTATCTATAGAAATAACTTCTGAAGCAGATAAAGGCAGCTCTGTGTCAACAACACCTGATGTATCAGCGACTGAAGCAACTTCCAAACGTAACTTAGAAGATATTACTGAAGAAATCGAAGACATTAACGACACACCAACTTTTCAAAATATTCCTGAGTACGAACCCTATTTCCCAGAACTAACCGAATCACTGGATGCTCCCATTATCCTCTTCAAAACAACAGTTCTGTCTTCTATCGAACTCTTGACTAAAACCGTTGTACAAAGCAGACTAAGAACCTATACTTACGTTATAACCACTAAAGCAGGAAACGAGCAAGTAGTTACTTCCACTACCGAAGTAAAACCTCACACAAAAACGACAATTACTACCGAATCTATTACGCGACTTACTACATTAACACTCTTAGATATAGACGCAACAAGTACCTTAACCAGTCCACAACAATCTATATCTTCTGTTCTGGATAAATCTCAGTCTGTCCAAGGTGAGTTATCTTTTGTATAAAATTTGCTTCATTAAAACAAAATAATTTGGTTATACACAGCGTTTTTGTATTTATTATTGTTCAGAAAGAAAAACAATATTAGTATAAACATGAATTAAATTGTTAAGTAATTGTACACAGTAAATTCCAGTTTCTGAGAAAAATTCAAAGAAGTTACATTGGGAAATTTGAGTGGCTACGCTATTGGTCCTTTTTTACCAATCTACGATACGGGAATTTATTGTTGAAGACTTTTCTTGTTTAAACCTTGATTAATTCCGGAGCTCACTCTCTTCTTGGAGTACGAAGTTCCTTTTATGGTTTTATGGCTCTAGGAGAGATTCATTATTGATAACATATCTAAAACAATAATTATTTAAAGCTACCAGAGCATTGGTTATTTCTGTAGTATATTTTAATCTGCACATCGAAAATATCTTCATTCATCTTTTTCTAAGTATAGAACTCTTATCTTTGCTGTTAACTGAATTAACTTACGTTTTGCAGACGATACAGTAATAATTACGGATAACAACAATGATTTACAGAACCTAATGCAACGCCTTAATGAACGCTGTCATGAGTACGGACTGAAGATAAATTTAAAGAAAACTAAATGCATGATCATGACTAAATCTGCACATGCAAATATTCAATTGACTATTGAAGATACTGCAATTGAGAATGTTAATAACTATAAATATTTAGGAACATGGATAACATCAGATGTAGACCAAACCAAAGAAATTAGGACACGTATTGAAATAGCACTTACATCATTTATTAAACTTAAAAAGTTTCTTTGTTGTCGGGATATAAGGTTAGAACTACGCCTGAGAATGCTTCGATGTTACGTGTTCTCTACTCTTCTTTATGGTCTGGAAGCTTGGACACTAAAACAAGTTCATCTGAATAAGCTGGCCGCCTTTGAATTTTGGTGTTACAGAAGAATCCTACGAATATCATGGATTCAAAGAATGTCAAACATGGAAGTAACTAGAAGGATAGGAAATGAGGCGGAAATAATATTAACTATTAAAATACGAAAACTTGAGTACTTGGGACATGTGATGAGAGGGCAAAAATACGCATTATTACAACTTATTATGCAGGGCAAAATCCGAGGAAAGCGAAATGTGGGAAGACGAAGAATATCCTTACTTAAGAACTTAAGGGAATGGTTTGAATGCAGTAGTGCAGAACTTTTTAGAGCGGCAGTCAACAGAGTCCGCATAGCCATGATGATTTCCAACCTTCGATAGAAGATGGAACTTAAAGAAGAAGAATCTTTGCTGTAATATATCTTTTAATTTGATTTAATCAAACCAAAATCATCTAATAAGAGACTTTAATCTTAGTTTATGACATTAAGGTTTTGAAGGAACATAACAAAAAGAAATAATTTAAAATTAAAATAGAGAAAAAATTCCAAACACATAAACTAACTGATGAGCAAACTATAAAAGAATGACACATAATAAAGCACTTTCTACCTCGAGTTTTTTTTACTAAGTTAGTAATTTCTTCTGGAGTAGAGGCTAGAAGTGTAGTGTCGTCTGCAAAACGTAAGTAAGATATCTTGACAGCGCCTAGGCTTACTCCCAACCATCCAAAACGGGCCATCTTACAAGTATAGAATAGTATTTAATATTTGATCGATGACGTGCAGCTGTGCACATGGCACCCGAAGAAAAATTAGAAGGAAAAATATATTTAAACCGTATGTCACAATAACCCAATAGCTATAATAAATATAACTGACTTAGCAATTCTCCAGGACCATCTATACTGCTATCAGAAGTGGATAATGGTATCAAAAATTTACACAACAGAAGGACTCCAGAAAAAGACACTGGTATTTTTATGATGTGAAAAATATGTCATTTTATTTAACATCTATGGTCATATTTCTATGGTCAGTAAAAAGAACGATAATGTATAGATATATTACAGTTGATGTTCTTAAAGTACTATACCTTGTGTGTAGAGAATGGTTTGACTTTGGACATAGTTCAATAACCACAAGTTCATACAATATCTTACAAACAAACATTATGGTGTCTGTTTGGAGAAGCAAAGGCAATGAAATATTGCAAACAGTTACAACAACAATATTATCATAAATAAATTCAAACAAGTTTTAAAATTACCCAAAAAATGGAAAACTGAATTGGTGGAAAGACATTATTTACCTACTTTGCGTGAGTAGATGGTGAAGAATAATTTCTTTCCATTTGTAAATTTCTAATCGATTTTGTAGTTGGGTTGTTTTGGTCATAAAGCTTTTCCTCGATTTGAATCTTCATCCTGTATGCTCATGGAGTAAATATCGAGAGTCTTCAATTTGATTCTTTCGTTTCAGATCTTCAGCAACTTCTGTTCTCTCAGGTGGGGTGATACAAGAGATAGGATTAAGCTTAATTACAAATCCAGTTGGCTCGTTGATACTACATCTACATAATAATATATCTACATAAGTATGTGCTGATTCTTATCATAGTGGTGCAGCATATTCTGCAGCTCAAACAGAGAGTACAAAGGTCGATGCTAGAAGACTGAAAGAGTGTATGCCCCATTTTTCATTTACAAGTTACGAAAAATATTTGTTTGTCATTTTGCCTATCAATTTCAAGCAAGATTTTAATCCAGCCTGGGAGATTTACACACCACTTAAATATAACACTAAGATGATACAATTCATTGGAACGAGAAAGATTAACTTGTATAAACAAGAACAAGAACTAACCGACCCTATTGAAGCTGGCAATAACATAAGACAGGGAGATTCCCTGAGCCCTCTATTGTTAAACCTGATTATGGATAAAATAATAAAAAAGTAAGAACTAAAAAGGATACCAAATGGGAAAAAACAACTTAAAATAGTCTGCTATGCAGACAAAGCAATACTACTCTCTCAAATTGAAGACGATTTACAACGTATACTGCACCAATTTAATATAACCACCAGAAAATGTAACATGTTAATTTCCCCAAAAAAGGCAAAACGCATGGTTACAACAACAAATTTACTAAGATGTAAATTTGAGGTGGAAGGTCAGATAATAGAATAAGTGATGGGGTTTAAATATATAGGCATCACATTATCTAACTACGGAAAGCTCGAAACTGAAGTGGAAGATCTAATGAATAGAGCAAACAAAGCCGCAGGCTGCCTGGATGAAACAATATGGAGGAATAAAAATATTGGGAAAGAAACGAAAGGTAGAATTTACAAAGAAATACGATCCGACAGAGAGAGGACCAGAAGGATCTTAGAAACAGCAGAGAAGAAAACAAAACACTTAGAAAAATTGATGGTAAGACAATAGGGAACCAAGCTAGAAGTATACATATACGACATAGATGCAAGGTGGAGAACATCAAGAACTGGGTAAGAAATAGAAGCGTAAAATGACAACACCAACAAATAGAGTAGTAAAGACGGCAAGAGACGGTTCCCCAATAGGAAGACGATCAGTAGAAAGACCACGAAAATGATGGTACGACAATGATTGCAATGATGGAGAAACATTGAAAAAAAGACAGAGTCATGTCTTCATAAAAAGGAAAAGAAAAGAAGAAGAAGAAGAAACAAGAATCACCCCACCCCGCTCCCATACTCCCGACCATCCACTTTCCTCCCGATAGCGCTGTGATGCGCTATCGCTATAGAAGCTTTCTTATCAGTAAAGTGCTTATTATGTAGGAGTAGTGGGTACAAGAGCTCCCACACGAAATCCTACCCCGAACAATGCAGACCAGTGTAAGGCACTCCATTCCTCCTATCTCTAGTGACTTATCATTGATCTTTTAGTTTCAAACAATACTCTTTAAGTGACACGATGCGATTACAGAAGATTGCGAAATATTTAGGAGTAACATAGGTTTCAAAGGTTTCCTCACATAATTGCATGTCCTGCTTCTACTTTTCTTCTTTGTTACGAAGGTTTAAGTAACATATTTTAATACTTTCGGGATGAGTAATAGAGTGGTGATATAAATATTTTTCCTTGCTACCTATCTCAGGGGTGCTGATACCGGTACAGCTTTATTTATCTCCAGCTTTAAATGTCCTACTAGACTTAATTTAAATATTAATTTAATAAAGTTTTCTAAGTTAATACTTACTGCCCTCAGTTATTTCGTTTGCTTCATGATTACAATTTAACATGACAAATAATATTGTTATAAATAGTTGTTTATTATTTGTGTTTTTTAAAGAATTTTAGTAAACGTAATTTAAAGTATGGCAATACAATGTTTTGCTTTTATTTGCTGTATATAACCAAATTGACCTATGTATTGTATAGAACTTTTAGATTATTTTACTACTTTTGAAAATTTTTCTTTCATCTCTATTCCAAATTTAACAAAAAATGTAAATATATCTGTAGTATATTTAGAAAGTATGTTTTTTGTTACTTTGAATAAAAATTTCTCGGATATGTATTTATATTTATTATTCAAAATTGTAGTGGGAAAATAATTACTAAAATCAATAAAATGTTAGAAATTACACTATAGCTATTTTCACGTCACTGTAGAGTAATATTGTTTTAAAAACCATTCTAACCATAGATGGATTTGTTAAATTATTTTGATACATGTATTTATTGATTAATTGCGTTAATTGCTGTTAACGATGGCCTCCATTTCTTTATAGTACAGACAAATAAAAAAAAGTACCCTATTAGACTTTGACACGGCCAGGTATCTTCTTCTTCTTTGGTGCCGTCTTCTTAGCGAAGGTTGGCGATGACCTCTGCAAAGTCTTCCCTATTTTGGGCTTTTCTTATTAAACTTTGAAAGTCTAATCCTGTCCAATCTTTGATGTTGCGCAGCCAGGTCATTTGTCGTCTACCCCGGCCGCGTCTGCCTTATATTTTCCCTTCTATAATAAGCTGAAGGAAGTTATACCTGTCGTGTCCAAATATGTGTCCAAGATAAGACGTTTTACGCTTCTTGACAATTTCTGTGAGTTCACGTTCTCTACTCATACA